TTTGTATTTAATTTATCCATTATCATAACTAAGGAAAACTATAACTATTTGTCATCAACTCTTCAAAGACCCCAGAAGGGTATAATATTACTTAAGTAAAGAGGAAGTGAATTATAAGCAACTTCCAAAGTTCTAGAATTGACAGAGACATCTTGCTGCCTGTACAGTCATCAAAGTTCTTTTGCAATGTTGGGGCATCCATCTTCAGCCTACAGGCCCATAATACCTGGCATACTTTTCAGTAAAGCGGGAAATTCACCTATCTTGGCAGTTTGTCAGTCACTTTCTTCTGTATCCTGCAGAATGTCTGGCAGTTTCTTTTGTGAAGCTGGAACCCTGAAAAACCATCCCATCTTTTGGAATGTTCAGCAGTCACTTTTCTGTGGGTCCTGCATGTCCAGGTCATACGGTATACCATCAAGCAATCCAAGCAAGAGTAGTTTCTTGCCCAAATGACTAGCCTTGTTACATTGAAGGTAGATTCCATAATGAGTCTCTTTAATTCCCATCAACCTCGCTGAAGTAATTGGTGCTGCCAGAAGCAGGTATGTCTCACTGTTGAGAAAAGTCTAAGTTCTTAAAACATTTTAAATGCCATATTCTGTAGGTCTTTGAAGCGTTGAAGTTTATCTAACTAAAACATATCTCTATATATCTAGAAAATCTAACAAACATGACTATAAGTTTGACTATTATAAATGATACCTATTAATTTGTAATTTTAAATTATATATTACATTTTAAATGAGCTGTTTCAACATAATGCCTGAGAGAAAACCAGAAATACATATAACAAAATTTATATTAAATTTGTATCAATAGACCAAGTTCCATACCAATGCAAAGTATTCATTTTTATATTATATCTTCCTTATTTTTTAAACAAAGAGACTGACTATGACCATTAACTATTTATACATAACTTCTTTTAAATGAAAACAAACATTTATAAAGAATAATTTTTGGAATTTGGGCATATTTTTCTCCAAACTGCTTCCAGCTGTTTGTTGGATGAAGTATTGTTAGGGTCTATAAAGACCTTTCAGGGGGTCTTGTTCCATTAAACTACATTAGCCTGGAAGAAATGCACAGGTTCTCATCTTCTGTAGAAACAAGCAGAACCTCTTTTCCAGAGTAACGTATCCTTAGACTCAAATTTTGCTAATACATAATCAGTAAGCCTTCTCTTAAAGGAGCTATGCCTCTGCTCGCTGGAGTCCACCGGAGAAAATGCTGCTACTAAGAAGCTGTTCTTAACTCTGTTGTTTTGTATCTAGAAATACTTTTCAAGCGCTCTGGATTTTTACGTGGATGTAGTTGCCCCATGGAGAGTGTCATTTTGTAGGTGGAGACTGCACATCCATTTCCCAGCCACCTAGGCCCAAATAATCAATCACACAGAAACTATGTTAATTCTAATACTGCTTGACCAATGACTTTAGCGCATTCCTAGCTAGTGCTTACATCTTAAATTAACCCATTTCTATCGATGTATCACCACTAGGCCTACCAGTAAGGTTACTAAGGTTCTGCCATGTCCTTCTGTTTGGCAGCTACATGGTGTCTCCTTGACGCTGCCTACTCTATATATCTCTGTTCAGATTTCCCGCCTGGCTATACTCAGCTAAGCTACTGACTGGACAGTTTTATTCAATAAAAAGAACACATATACAGAAGGACAACCCACATCAATGGGGATAATAGAATGAGGAAATAAAGTGAAGACGGAGGGAATGAGGGGAGAGATAGCTAAAATTAATGTGCATTGGAATTGTATGAGACCGATGAAGTAGAATATTCCTAAATTATATACATATATAAATGCCATCTAAATGAAATTGTCAAAAATTGTAGAGACAGAGCCCCAATGGCCATTTCTTATCAACAAATAAAGTTTCCAATATCAGGATGCTGCCAAGACTATATATTGTTCCCCCACAAACTGATGACAAATCCTACATAACTCACTGAATATAGAAAAGTTGAGGTGTTGCCTACATAGAGCCTTCATCCCTATGTACCAGTGCTTGGCCTAAAGTAAGGTACTCTGTAAGATACCAAAAGAAAAATGTAAACAGTAACTTAACCACAAACCTTTTGACCTACAATAGTGCCCTGTCTGTAAGATATACTTCCGTTCTAAACAAACAAACAAACAAACAAACAAGAAACAAACATCCAAAAAAGTAGAAATAGAATGACTCCTAATGATATTCTGATATACTCATAGATTAGTGCCTTGTTTAACTATTGTGAGAGAAGCATCCTCCTGCAGCAGGTGAGAATAAATATAGACATATAGTCAGACAATATGCAAGGAATAAAAAAAAAAAGATCTTGAAAGACACAGACTTAAATGGGATGTCTCCATCAAATCCCTCCCCTGAGAGGTCAGTGAACTATGAAGAAGATAAGACAAAAAAGTTCATAAGAGCCAGAGAGGATAGAGGACACCAAAAGCAAGGCCCTCTAAATCAACAAGAGAGGTGCACATATGAACTCAGAAAAAAAAAAGAGGCAGATGTACAGGGCCTATACAGATCTTCACAGATGAAAAGTGAAGTTGACCCAAGCGCCCATCCCTAAACTAGAAGACATCTTCAATATATTGACACTTGCAAATGAAATTTAGTTTTATCCAAGGGGGTCTTCTTGGGAAAGCTTCATGCTTAACAGTAGATGGCCAACAGATGGACTTAATGATATTTTTGGAGGTTTCATGTCTTATAATGTGCTTTTATTTTTTTAAATTTATCTATTTTTCTCATCTATCAATCTATCTATCTATCTGTAGTATATATCTATTTCTTGTTTCTTTTTTGGGGGAGCTCTCCTTTCTGATTGTATATTCTGTTTATTCTTATGTACTAGTTTCATCTTATTTTATTTTAAGTTTTCATTCTCTCTTAGAAATATGCTTATTTTGTAATGAAAGACAGAAAGGGGATAGATCCAGATGGAAGGTAAGGAGATACTTGGAAGACTAGAAGGAGAAACCATAATCAGTATATATAGTATTTGAGGAAAAAAAAACAATTTTCAATAAAAGAAAAAAAACTTTGTGTTCATTGTTGATATTACAAATAAAAAGTGGTCATTAAGAAAAACAATAAGTAAATGTCCTACTTATTCATCTCACAAATTATATCAATGTTTCCAAGATTAAAATTCCAACAAAAAGAAGAAAAATTGGTTTATAGTTAATTGAAGATAGTATAAGTGGTAACAGGAAATATATAAAACAATTGTCTCTTAATGGACACGCTTAAATGCAAGTTATATCTGTATACTATGTCTTTAAAATATATATTTTTTTCATATACTTTCTTAATGCTTCTTCTAGTATCACATTTTTTTGGAGGTACAAAGGATGAGATTTAGGGCCTAATCCATGCTTAGAAAGCACACTGCCCCGATCTACATTTTCAACCTGATTTATGAGACACAGTCTCACTATGTAGCCTAAGCAGGCCCTGTACTTGCTATCTCCAATTTTATCTGTATCCAAAAATGATTGTTTTACTATAATCTTCAGGTGCCATTTAAGTTCCTTGTCTTTTTATGTCTGAAGTTGATTTTACATGATTGATTGAAAAAGATCTGACTGTTCTAAATCATTGGGATTTAGCTAATCCCTCCAAAGAAGGTAATATTTCATATTTCCTCAGGTGATGTGTATAATAAACCATATCTTGTCTTTAATGTACACATATCTAATAGTTGTTCTAGCATAGTTTAAAATATCCCCTTGATTCAGGGAGTGAAGTTCATACATAAGTAGTCTTCAAGGACAGATTCACCCTGGGATTTTAACAATTCTGTATTTTTAAAAAAGTTTTTGCTATCTGATCTTTAGAGGAAATGAGTTATAAAATAAATAATAAAACAAATAAGGAACATTGCTAGAAAACAAATATAAAACATTTGAGAACTGAGAAACAGATTTTATAACAAAGAGCAAAGGAAAGTTTAATTACCATAATTTCTGTTTACAATTGTTGCCCTTCTTCTGTGATGTGACTATGTAAATTTTCTTACAGGTTCTAATAGCATAATAAATTTAAGATATTTAAGGCTGGTGTTAGAATCTTGGGATTCTGCCAATTATAGTGCAAGTGAGATTTTTAAGAAACAAGGTGTTCTTATGAATGTAAACCAGAAGCAAATGACAGCTAACTAACCACAGCCATTTCTCTCAGTATAGACTACATTTTGGAATTAGTTAAGATTTGTCTGACTAGTACTGACGTTAGGTAATTTTAGATTATTTAGCTACTCTGTTGTTCATGTCAGGTCATGTAAATATAATCAATCAAAAATTCAGAAAGAAACATAAATCTTTATAACATTTTCCATAAAGGTGAAGAGTTATTTCAAATATTTAGGCTTCAAAAAACATTTAAAGCTTATTTTAAAGTGAATTTTTTATATCCATGGGTACACATAATATCTACTGTTCATATAAAAGTTCATTATTAAAGTTTTATGAACTAACTGATTTTACTTGCAAATGATGTCAACTTGATGAATTTGATAAAAAGATGTGAATCACTTGGGGATTAAAAAGGGAAAAAAGAAGGCACAAAGTTAAAGAGAAACATTGGAAAGGTGAGAAGGTCTGGACTTAGTAGTTGAAGAGATGAATTATTGGTTCAGCTGTAACCATTTAAGAATGGAAATTTTCAGCAGGTAGAGAGTGGGTACTCAGAGGGATTGAAATAAAGACCATTGTTCAGCTGATTTAGGAAATGTTTAAGATGAGCGTGTTCTTGTTTCACTTTATCTTATTCTTAAGAAAGAACATATTGCTCAGTTTCTAGGCTTAAAGACAACAACATAGCTTATTTAGCTGTTTACAGACCAGTAGTCTATACTACCATATTTTAAATCATTTACTTAATGTTTTGCAATGAAAATGTTTTAATTGCAAAAGTTTTTAACTGCATGGACAGCACTTATCTGTGTAGATTCCACTTCATCTGAGAACATACTGATCATACCTGAGTGCAATAGAAGTTAATACAAGTTTCATGACCATCTCGCCCCAGTCCAGATGGATGAAAGTAAACAGATATCTCTGTGGTAGAGTGAGGTAGCAGGACCAACTGCGAGAATTAGAAAGAAAAACACAAGAAAAACAAGAATTAATATATTTTTTGAGGTGAAATTTTTGTGAGGTAGGTGTATGAAAAGCTGATCCTTGTATGATAAAAGTGAGGACTTGCACATATTATCTGCTTTTGTATAACCACTGTTCAAATATTGATTACAGGGGATGTGATGAACACTATTTGTCATGTTAGTTCTCAGGCCATAGGTTTTCTTCAATGACCATGCAAGACTTACTCACTGTGCAACAACATTAAAAAATTAATCATAAGTGCTTATTTAAGCTTCCTAATTATGTACATACATACTTTACTTAGGAATCTATAGCTTTTTAATATTCTATGGAACAGGCCAAATTACTATAAGAACTTAACTCATAAATTTGTCAATGTCAAAAGAAATGAATATCATTTGTTTTAAACATCAGTGTTAAGTCAAGTTCTTTTCATACCATTATTTTTTCACTTCATCTTGTTATATACATATTCATGGTACTAGGTGGTGGTCTGTAGTATGAGTTTCAGATTTCTCTTTAGCAATAGTAAAAGGAGACAATGATTGCATCAAAATACACATGAGTATTATATGATCAAAGTACTATGCTGGGAATATTACAATATTTAATACCAACGGATACAGAATAGCTGATAGAGTCATAATGCTCAAAAAATAATTTTAAAGTAAATATTTTCACAGATTATATTCAAACACAACAAAGAAAAATTAAAATCCAATAGAAACAGTCAATTCTTGTAACATAAAGCATTTGGTGCCCAATAGTCATGAAACACAAAAACAAATTTAATATACATTATTTTTAAATAAAAGATGCAAATGATATGGCAAAAGAGTAACAAAAGTCATCAACCCAGTTGATGACTCTAGCACTTGTCATGGTGCCAAAAGAGTAATCAGCACAGTTAGGTAAACTTTTAAATTCACATGGATTCAAGATGATTGTGGAAGTTTATAGGCTACCAAAATATAATCTTATCAAGCATTTACATTGAAATGATATGAAGAAATAGAATGGAGAGACAAGAAAAATACAAAGCTTATGTGCAGATTGTTAATTTTTGAAGCAATGGTTAAAGTTAGAGGTATAGGACTGCTAATTATATTGTTTTAAATTCTCTTTTATATTAGAAAATGTAATAAACAGCAACCACTTTGGAAATCAGTGTGGCAGTTTCTCAGGAAATTGGGAATCAGCCTACTTCAGGATCCAGCAATACCACTCTTGGGAATATACCCCAGAGATGCCTTATCATACTACAAAAGCATTTGTTCAACAGTGTTCATAGCAGCACTATTTCTAATAGTCAGAACCTGGAAACAACCTAGGTGCCCATCAATAGAAGAATTGATAAAGAAGGTGTGGCACATATACACTTAAGAGTTCTACTCAGTGGTAAAAAAACAGTGATATCTTGAATTTTGCATGCAAATGGATGAAAATAGAAAACACTATCCTGAGTGAGATAACCCAGACCGAAAGAGATGAATATGGTATGTACTCACTCATTAGTGGACTCTAGCCATAAACAAAGGACATTAAGCCTATTGTTCACAAGCCTAGAGAAGCCAAATAACAAGGTAAACCCAAAGAAAATCATATATAGATTTTTTGGAAATTGGAAGCAAACAAGATTGCCAGGCAAAAGTTGGGAGCATGGGGGTGGGGGTAGGGGTGAGGGTGGGGTTGGGGGGAAGAGGTGAGGGGGAGAGGGAAGGGAGAAGGGAAAGACTGGGGAGAGTTTGGGGGACTGGGAGAATGGAGATGAAGGGCTGATATAGGAGCAGGGTAGAAGATATCTTAATTAAGGGAGCCATTTTAGGGTTGGCAAGACTTGGCTCTAGAGGGGATCCTAGGTGTCCACGGGGATGTCCCCAGATAGGTCCTTGGGCAATAGAGCAGAGGGTGCCTGAACTGGCCTTGCCCCACTATTACACTGATGATTATCTCGAATATCACCATAGAATCTTCGTCTGGCAACAGATGGAGATAGAGACAGAGACCCTCATCAGAGCAAGGACTGAGCTCCCAAGGTCCAGTTGAAGGGCAGAAGGAGGGAGAAGACGAGCAAGGAAGTCAGGACCACGAGGGGTTGGTCTACCCACTGAGGCAGTGTGCCTGTTCTAATGGGAGTTCTCCAGGACTGAAGGAGAATGTGATCAAACCGGACTCTGTGCCTGACAATGGGGGCTGACTGAGAAGCCATTGATAAAGGCACTGGAACTTGTTTTTACTGCATGTACTGGCTTTTTGAGACCCTAGTCTTTTGGATGCACAGCTTTCTAGGTCTGGATGTAGGGGAGAGGGCATTGGACTTCCCAAAGGGCAAAGTTCCCTGCCCTCTCTCAAGCAGAAAGGGGGGGAGAGGGGAGGGTGAGTGGGGAAGCAGGAGGGGAATGGGAAAAGGGGAGGAAGTGGAAATTTTGGAATGGAAAAATAAAAATAAATGAATAATTATTTACCCTTAAAATAGATTTATGTTTATTTATTAAAATATTAATGAATAATATAAATAATATTGAACATTATTGGATAATATGAATAATAATGAATGATAGTAATTATTTGTAAAAAGTTATATGAATACTACGTAATTAAAGAGAAGAATAAAAATGAACATACAAATATATGAACACTTGTATATGTAATTATATTCATATATCATTCATAATTGAAAAATAATTTTATAATTGTCCATGTGTTATTGGATCTATGTGCTATTAATTAACTGTGTCCATATACTTTATAATTGTATTGCCTCATATATAACTTTTGGGTTATTTATAATATTAGCCATAACTGCATATCTAATTCAAATAACATCTGATAAATTAATAAGCAATGAAGTCTAAAAGTCATGGATGAAGGATAAAACAGTCTGTTTTTGTAATGATACCAGGTGCCATATAATATATTGTCTTTGCTTTTCTCTGGACCAAAGATTAGCATCTTCTATAAGAGTAAAGACATATATGATGTGAAATCTTTACTTTTAATGAGAAATTTAAAGTACAAGAAAAACTACATAATGAACTCTATATGCTTTAAAATTATGCGCTCTTAAGCGATACATTCAAATATGTACATTCCAATATACTTCGTAATATTAGTATGTTCATATATATTTTTAATACAGCAAGCACTGAGTTTAAATTTGATTCATTGTCTGTCAAAATAAGAACTAATTAAATTAAAGCTAATATGCATATATATGTATATATATATATACAAATACATACTAATTTCTCATAGAGTATTGTTAATCCTAACAAGTACTTTGACTATATTCATCCTCCATTAGCTTTTTTAAGAAAAATTTCAGTAATTCATTGAGAATTTCAAACAGTATATTTCGATATACTCACCACTCCTTTCTCTTGATCCAACCTCACTTCCCTCCCCACACACCTTGAATTCTCTTTTCACAGGTTCATGAAATTCAATTTGTTTTATGTTCTCATATTGCCCTCCCAAGCCTGCTGAATCACTTCTTAGTTGGCAACCAGAAGTTGCAAAGAGACAGATAGTAAGATATAAAGACATCAAAATATATATTTGTTCAACAGTCATTAAACTACAGAATAAAAACCTTTATTTCAATATATCTGCCAGCAGAGCTCCAGGAAAGGTTCTTTGATAAAAATCAAACACTGTAATTATGTATTTTCTTTTCTGAAATAGTTTCATTTTTCCCTAGATTACATTCTCATTCCTCAGCTCAGTTCCTTGAGACTCTTGCCTCAGGTCTTGAGTGGCTTAAAGCAGCTGTGACTAGAGATTTACTCACACACTAGTGCCTGCCTTAAATTATCATTTCCAAGTTTACTTGAATGGATATGGGATCAAATTAACTGCAAGGAACTGGTGTCTTATGGTTTAGAAATATAGAAATTTATGTTAAAACATCTCTTGTTTTATAACTTAGTAAAAGATAAAAATGGTTTTGACTGTATAACTTGGTTATATTCTTCATGACCCCAAAATGAACAATGATGTCACCAGATGATGAGTAAGAACTGTGTAAGAATCTGAAAATGTAAAAAGCGACAAGGCCAGATACTCACAAAAGATTAGAAACACTTATCCTCAGGGTTCTGTTAACAGATAATGATTGTTAAGATAAAATCATATAACACAGAATCTATTACAAAATCTGATTAATAAAATGGTCATGAATGAAATATAACTAGTATAGTGAGACTGTCTAATAACAGACTGCAACATATGAGACTAGAGTATCCCTTTTTAAACGTCAAAAATTTAAATTATTATTAATGATCCTAATGATAATATAGCACTAGAATCTTAAAATTATAAGTAGGAAATGCTGTTGTAGTGATCAGTTTCATGGATTTCTGAATGTACTTACTGGCGTTTTTCTGTTAATGTCCGTGACAAAATTTTCAGGATTACTATTCTTCATTTTCAATTCTAATGTTTCTTGCGTAGGATTATATAAAGGAAGGGTCTGAATGATATTCCTTGGAGGAAAATCAAAAGTAGCAAATTTACTGGTATTTACAAACTTATTAGTGATAATTTCATAAACTTTTTCATTATCAACTAAATTGATATACCTTACAACTTATGTTATTGCATAATATTTTTATACATTTATGGCAAACAATGTCTGGTTTGATTTTGTAATAAATTTATGGCAATATGAATTAATAGTGAAGCTATGCAATGAAGAAATAATAACTGCTACTCATCTGTCATCTATGGAAATTAATCAAATGATCTCAACAATGTTTTGGAACACTAAAATGTGTACATTAAACTCTTTGTACTCATAGTAACTCAGAATGTGACATTAAGTGCAATTTGAAATAACATGCACCTAGCTTTGTTACACTAAAGTAAGATGAGAAAAAGTTATCCTTTAATCCAAACTGACTTTTGTCCTATAACATCTACCTCAAAATAAATCAAATATACAAATTTGTTGTAGTAGGATCATTATTTCATATGGTGTGGTACCAAGTCTAACTAGGCTCAAGTCTAGAAAGAAAACTTTCCAGATGTTTCTGATTTTTCATATTGGTTTTTAATGTATGTCTATCTTTGACATAATTTCTATGCTGATTAAGCAAAAAAAGATCACTACCACATAAAAATTTTCTTGATAGAAAGACATTAGGGCATTTCTGTAGATCTTTAAAAGCTAATGTTTATCAAATATTTGAATATTCAGATTTTAAGAAATCAGAGCCATGATTTTCAATGCAACATTATTCTGGTTAATAAGTATATAGAATGTATATTAAAATATATAGAATACACACATACGCACATAACACAATATAGTATAGAAAGAAAACTTTTCAAATATTTCTGGTTTTTCTTATTGGTTTTTAATGGATGCCTGTCTTTGTCATACTTTCTATGTTGATTATGCAATGAAAGTCTTTATATACACATAGTTATATGTATATATAAAGAAACTGAACCTATATGTGTGTATTCTTATTTTAAAATATAATTTGCAAAGAATAATTATTGTTTTTGCACAGTGGATTTACATCTAGATATAATGAAAGAATTGTGGTTTTTGGTACTAGAAATAAAATCTAGGACCTGTATCCATCAGTCTTAGTTCAAAAATACACAGAATGAATCTACAAAGAATCCTCTGGTTTCAATCCAGTGATAAATGAAGCTCATTGTATAAAAATACTGTTTCTTCAAAGAGAAAGGTATATTGTTCTCCTAGCAGTGAATGCCATGACACTGAACAACAGGTCAGAAGTCAGAATAGAAATGGCCTCACATATACATTCTCTGCTTTAACTCAATACAAAGCTGTGAACCACTAAATGTGTATCTTGAAACCCACTGTTTTCTACAGAATTTTGGTCTCTTAAGTTGTATATTATAATTGTTTATATATTTAAGAGTTATCACTATGATAACAATAAAGGGTTATTGATTTTGATATAAAAAACTCAAGAAGTTCTGGAAGATAAAACTGAATTAATCTGTCAGATTGGAAAATAGCAAATGCTGGGGGAAAGGGTAAAATAATACTGAAAATTTTAAACCAGTTAGAAATACTAAATCAAAATCACAGCTGTAGGACAAATCGGGAAAACAAAGAAATGGCATAACATTGGGAGAGTTCAGAAACTGAAAGCCAGAAATTACTACAAGAGTGTCCATTTATCTTAAAACATAATTGAAAACAGAGGCATAGCAAGAAATATTATTGAGACAGAAAGCTGGATGCACTGAAAGATCTCACAAATTTTCAAAACCGATAAGGATAAAGGTTAAACTCGCTAAAACTTACTACCAAATGTCGTTCAATGCCGTGTACCTTTTAATTAAGCACGCGTTTTAAATCTAACTTCGATAAGGATAAAGGTTAAACTCGCTAAAACTTACTACCAAATGTCGTTCAATGCCGTGTACCTTTTAATTAAGCATGCGTTTTAAATCTAACTTAAACATGAATGTTTTTAATCTAACCTAGAAAAACATGTTTTAAAACAAGATTATTTAAAAAGGAGAAAAATCTTACAACCAAGTGGTTTAGCTTTTGTGGTAAGCCTAACAAAATGAATTAATTCCTGGAACCCATGTTAAGGTGGAAAGAATCAAGTGTGCAAAAGTGTCTTCTGAAATTCATTTGTGGATCACGGCATGAGTGCTCCTACATTCATTCCTACACATCATGCCCATACAATAATAGAGTTTTTTTATTTTTTTTATTTTTTTTTTATTTTTTATTTTTGAGACAGGGTTTCTCTGTAGCTTTTTGGTTCCTGTCCTGGAACTAGCTCTTGTAGACCAGGCTGGCCTTGAATTCACAGGGATCCGCCTGCCTCTGCCACCCTAGTGCTGGGATTAAAGGCGTGTGCCACCACCGCCCGGCAATAATAAAGTTTTAAAAGGAGTACACATCTGGTACAGTATGAAAAAATGGTCGCAAAAAGAAGCAAAACATTTCAGATATTTATAATGTTTATATAGAGGTTTCATACATTAACATTTACAGTTTTATTGCATTAAAGATCTGTGTGTACTTGTGTGTGAATGATGGACACAGCATCTAGGTGTAAGTCAGGGGACAACTGACAGGAGTAGATGCTCTGTTTCCATAATGTGTGTCTTGCCTGGGGTTTGAAGTCAGATCATCAGTCTTCATATGAAGAGCCTCTATTCCCCAAATCATTTTCCCAGCTCATACATATTAATATTTTAATACATGAGAAATGCTCAGAAGTTGAAATGATTTTAGAAATACTATGGGGAAGTAAAAAGTGTTAGTACATGACTCAATTTTTCTAAAAGAATTGTTTAAACCAGTTTTTTTTTGCCTTCATACTTCAACTTTGACTTGACTGCAATTCATCTTTGCTGGAGATGTCCAGTTGCTGGACTTTTTGATCTTAGCATGACCTCAAGTCTACAGAGAGTAAAGGAACCTGAAAATTTTATGCTTCAGGCTAAATATGGTAATGGAGACTACAACAAGATTTCAAAAGCCTAGGAGTGATTAGTAATTCTTCACTTTTTTTCTCCCAAAAATGCAAAAAAAAGTTTAAGTGTTATCACCATAAAGAGATGATAAATAAAGTCTCTTTTTAATTTTTTTTAATTTCCCCCTCCTCCCCCTCCTCCCATTTCCCTCCCACTCCTCCCATCCCCCTCCCCCCTCCCTCTCCAGTTCAAAGAGTCAGGGTTCCCTGCCCTGTGGGAAGTCCAAAGTCCTCCCCCCTCCATCCAGGTCTAGGAAGGTGAACATCCAAACAGACTAGGTTCCCACAAAGCCAGTCCATGCAGTAGGATCAAAACCCAGTGCCATTGTCCTTGGCTTCTCAGTCAGTCCTCATTGTCAGTGACATTCAGAGAGATTGGTTTGTTCACATGTTCATTCAGTCCCAGTTTAGCTGGACTTGGTGAGCTCCCATTAGATCAGCCCCACCAATAGTCTTAAGCTATGTCTCACAGTCAGTAAAGTGTTGGTCTTAAAACATGAGCACCTGATGTTGATTCCCCACTGTATTGTGTCTGTCATACCATTCCTGAAGCAGAGGTAGGAGGATTCCTGGAGCTCATTAGATGGCAAGCCTAGCTGAATCAGTGAGCGCCAGGTTGAGTTAGAAACAGTTTGAAAACATATGGTGGAGATAGATACTGCAGGTTGATATCTGGTCTCTACATGCAAAAATGTGCACTTGAATAAATGTGTATATACACATTCACCAAATATACTGACATATACACATACATACATACATACACACACAAAGAAAAAATGTGAGGATATTTTTTTTAATTGTCACAATATATGAAAAGATGCACTGTACCTTACATATACAATATTATTTTTCATTTTTAATTGAATATAAAATGGGATAAGGCCAGACTACAAAAAAATAAGCAAATGAGCAAAAATTTAACTTATCTTGCTTTATAAGGCATACAAAGTTGTAAGAATTAAGCTCTATATTTCTTTGCAAGACCAAGGAGTGCAGCACTGCGCATGCTGTCACTTTTGCCCTTAGAACTTCTTTACATATCCTGCTTTCTTCATTAGTCTCATTACTCTGTTAAAATTTTCATAGTGAATTATTTGTAGTGGTATTTGGGCCTAACATTTAGCAATGTTTAACATACTTTTTGTATGCTGAGGAAGAGCTATTAGTAAAAGGTGCTTATTTACCCATTAGACTATATAAAGGTAATTCTAGTTTATTTTGGTTTACCAGAATCAAATTGGTCAGACACAGATTAGAATCTTAACTATCTGAGTGTGAGTGAACACTCAAGGGAACACAGAGTTAACCAAGCGGCCTGATGTTCACAGTTCCTCATGGCATACCCTCTGCTTTGAACAAACAATCCTTCTACCAGTTTTTATTTAATCCTGAACTTAACTTGTTCCCAGACTTAAGCCATATATGTACAACAACACTTCACTCCCACTAATATCTAAGTACAGTGAGCTTCACTCCCCATTAGATGCCACCGACTATTTCTTCTTTACATTAAAAAGGGAACACCCCTTTCCATTTTATTTTGGATGCCTGAATACAGGAGCTTACTCTGTACTGCAATAGTTCCTTTCCCTCCTTTGAAAGCATCTTTTGTACAGAACTCTTACCTACATCGTGATCTGTTTCTCTTGACAGGTTTTCCCATTATAAGTATATTCACTATGTAGTTTAAAAGGGTAATAAATGCCTTACAAAAGAGTTTTTCCCTTTTTTATAACAAAATTATTAAATAGAACTTACTTTCCAAGATCACACTGCATTTCTGGTATTTCCTTTGTTTTGGGAATATCAGTTGTCAATTTTAGTAAATACCAGAACTCTTCACCCATTTCAGGTTGAAAAATAATGCTGTTGTAGAGAAATTTTGAGAATTTTGTCAATCATTCTTGTTTGTATAATAAACATGGAAAAGCAAAACATAAAATGGTGGTACTATCTGGTTTCAAATGCAGTATTTAATCACTAATGTGCTATATATTCCAGTCTTATAATTAATGTATTTGTGATTTTTCAATTTTTGGTGGAAAGATTACTTTATTAAAGGAAAGAAATATTGTTATTAATACAGATTTAATAAATATTTGTTGAATTAATAGAAACTGATTACATGAGTATTTTAAATATCAATGTTAGAAAAGATCATGGTCTATATCTGCAGTTATATCAAATATATTGTATTATATGCACACATTCATGTGAAGCCTATCATAAATATGCAGTTTTAAAGAACATCTTTAAAAACAGAATGTGTTCCCCCCTCAGAAGATCGAGTTTGCTAAAGTGTAATATATCAATGTGTTGATATCTCAGTTTTATTGTATTTTTTGTATAATTTCAATCAAGTCATTTAACTTTTTATGTTAGAATTTCATTATTTATAAAATGGGATAGATCAGTCTGCCTTGCCTTACTCTCTCTATGAGAATTTTATGTACCTAAAATGTATACCAAGCTGATAATAATAGAGTAAGCAGGTAACAAATGCAAGCCCAGAGTATGCCTTATACATACAAAAAAAAAAAAAAACTCAAAATGAAGTTTCAATTGGTACTTGTAAATCCTAGAGTCACATTAGTGAGATGAGAGAAGTCCCCATTTCTAATGACAATCTAAAGACAAAGTCTTTTAAAAATAACAACCTGCTCTCATCTTCTTCTTTTATACCATTCTGCTCTTTCCCCTCTTGTTCAACTTTTTAATTTTTTAATGTTTTGAGACAGTATCTCTAGACCAGGTTCAAGATGGTCTAGAACTCACTTTGTAGTCTGGGTTTGCCTCATACTCAAAGGTCTCCCTGTCTCCTGAGTGGTGGGATTATAAATATGAGCCACCATGCTAAGGTAATGAACTATACTTTTTTTGATTTATACTATTATGAATTTTTATCCTTTAAGGTCTAAAATATATATTATTTTATTATTCTTTCATTACAATTAAAAGTAGTTACTGCTATGATAGGAATCAAAATAAAGATTTTTACAGTCATCATTTTCTGAGACAATGTATTCATAGTACTACACTAACTACACAGTTAATATATACATGTGTGTGCATGCACACTTACATGAATGTGTATGCTTTCAGGAAACGATAATATTTCTAATGCAATTCTGTCTATGTCTTGCAAAGAAATAATTTATAGTTAATTACTCAAAGGAGTCAAGAATTTTTAAAATTTATTTTACACACCAACCAGTTTCCTCTCCTTCCTCTCCTCACATTCCCTCCCCCTACCTACTTTCTACCCTTGCCCCATCTACTTTCTTCTATCTAAAAGATACATGAAATTTTATCAACAAGATTAAAAGTTAAATCCCTAGTTCTCATGAACCATCCTCAGTTCACTAAGGAAGACTGTACTTGAAAAAAGAAAAATGAGAAATGTTGGAATGTTTTAACTTGACATTTCAGTGAATAGTAATTTTGCACTGAAGCAAACAAGAATTAATTGTTAAGTATTACATATTATTAAAGAATAGTTCTAACTTCAAACATTCAACAACAAATTACAATAAAAGCCCAAAGCTACCTTTCTTCTTTATAGCCTGTGGCTGCTGGAGAATACCATACAATGTAATTCACACATTCCAATGGATGCAGTCTCATTTCCTCTGGTCCACTAAGAGCAGAGGATGTAAATTTCACATCCAAACGAATACTTATTTCTTTTGTATTGGAGATGGGAATTTCAATGCAGACAGTCTCCTAGGAGTATGAAAGAAAAGAAGGACATGATCAACTTCTATTCTCAGCATAATCATTTCTCTTGGGAATGAAACAGAAAGAAAAACCATTACTTAAGGCCATTGTTTTATTTTTTTCCTTTCCTGGAACATTATTGAATTCATCTTTATTAAGTTTTAATCTCATATATGTTATCCATGATTAATCTTTTTTTTTATTTTGTTTTGTTTTGTTTTTCGAGACAGGGTTTCTCTGTGGCTTTGGAGCCTGTCCTGGAACTAGCTCTGTAGACCAGGCTAGTCTCGAACTCACAGAGATCCGCCTGCCTCTGCCTCCCGAGTGCTGGGATTAAAGGCGTGCGCCACCATCGCCCGGCTTCCATGATTAATCTTGATAATAATAACAGAACATAGCTTTAATAACAAGCAAGACATAGAGAGCTAATATAAAAAATAGTTAAAAATTACTTGTAATATTACATTTCAGATAAATTTTCTCTAATAGCTTTATTACCATGAGGTCCATTTTCCAGTATGTCCTCTGGTAATAACTCATTGATTGCACAATGGTATATTTTACTGATTTTTCTTTTTATTTATTTATTTATATATTTATTATGTACACAATATTCTGTCTGTGTGTATCTCTGTAGGCCAGAAGAGGGCACCAGACCTCATTACAGATGGTTGTGAGCCACCATGTGGTTGCTGGGAATTGAACTCAGGACCTTTGGAATGGCAGGCAATGCTCTTAACCACTGAGCCATCTCTCCAGAGATGCATTTTTCTTTTAAGAAAATTCTTTTCCCACCCATTTATCAAAAAGATTGATACAGTATGAAAACTTCTAACATGTAAAAGGCTCAGTGACTTAAGAGTTTAGATTGAGAAGTGGAGCAGGTAAGAGAAATATTAATAGTACCANTGTGTGTATCTCTGTAGGCCAGAAGAGGGCACCAGACCTCATTACAGATGGTTGTGAGCCACCATGTGGTTGCTGGGAATTGAACTCAGGACCTCTGGAAGAGCAGCCAGTGCTCTTAACCTCTGAGCCATCTCTCCAGCCCCTTTACTGATTTTTCTAGGCAACCTGATAAAATCTTTAAATATAATATAGAACATTTTGAGAAGTTTCCAGGGATTAAAGAAATAAAACTAATTATAGTATATCAGGAAACAAATATCATCAACCACAAACTAGCCTAGCAATTTTGCCTGGAGCTGAAGTGAGAAAAAATTAAGAAAATTAACAGGTCCTGCTCATTTGTCATCATGTACTAGCCATATACATCTTACAAACAAGCAATGTTAGTTTAAGAACATGCTTTCTGGGTCTGAATTACCTCACTCAAGATGAAACAAAAAAAAAGAAACCCAACCCCACTAAACAGAGAATGAAATCCAAACAGCAGATTCCTAGGCTATTAATATCTGTTATACTTTCTGACACTTATTATATTTATTCCATTTTATTTCTTAAAAATAATTCTGGGTCAGCAAGATGCTAAATTGATTTCTACCAAGTCTCACAATCTGAACTTAGTTCCCAAGACCCATATAGAAAATGAGAACCCATGCCTTCCTACAAGTTCTCTCAAACTCTACAAGCACATTGTGGTAAACACCTATGCATAATCTCTCTTTCTCTCTCTCTCTCTCTCTCTCTCTCTCTCTCTCTCTCTCTCTCCAACCCCCCCACACTAAATGCAATAAAATTAAAAAAGTCATGTTTGATTTATTCACATTTTAAAACCTATACATTGAATATGCAAACTCTGATCTGAAGAGGAATAAAATATTATCAGTATTTGTGGTATAACATTTCTTTTGGAGCATATCATTACTAACAATACAAGAACACAAAGTAAAACTGTTTGTTTTCACAATTTTCTCTGAATCTCAGAATATCTTGGACTCATAATTCTCTCTCCACTCTCAAAATTCTGGGATTTTAGTCATAAACATATATGCCTAACTTGAAATTACTTTTAAACTTACAGTTTCTTTGTGAACTATCATTTGTGTAATACAAGTAAGCATTTACTTTACATAAAAATTATAATACATTAGGGTTCACTAAATCTTAAGGGTACATAGAATGGGAGGATGGAAGCCACAAGGCAGTCATATCACAGTGCCTCCTTAGCATGCTTGCTATATCCATAGCTAATTGTCCCTACCTGAACACTTAGCACCTACCTTGTACATCTAGAAGCATTATCTAATTCTTTCAGAGATGAGAGATATAATAAAATAAAAAGATAGATTATTGAATCTACTTTTATAAAGCAAGTACTAGTTTTAAATATTTTATATTGCATTGGACATTTGTATATTGTATACAAATTTTGTAAATTGATACAAACATGATATAAATTTGTTTAGCACATAATGTACATATATTTCTACTGTTGTTCAAAGTATTGTTCTTATACAGCTCATATAACAATGTAATGCAAGTTTCTAGTCTGTGAAAGTTATTATTATCAACTCTTTAGGATAATAAAGAAATACAGGTTATTAATTTGTTACGTATTACAATTGAACTTGGAGTCACAATAGGTATGTTTATAAGGTCAAACACATATATACACATTTTAGATAGATTATCTTCAAACACTTCAGAGATCTAAAGAATATGGCATTTAAGTTGTTTTAATAACATAGTTTTTTAATGTGATAATGAGACATCTTTGCTCCTGAAAGCACAATTTACTTTGAAGAAGATGATGGACATCCAAGACAAGGTGTGACAGCCCTTCAAAAATCCTGCTTGACAGAAAATGTTGAATATTCTAGGCCTTTAGGCTGAAGATGGATGAAGACAGATGCTGAACACTGCCAGAGGAACCTTGGGTGACTGTCCAAGCAGTCAGCTATTTCTGTCATTTCTCACCTTTTTAGAAGTTGCTTGATTGCACTTCTTGCTTACTCAGTTAATATTATTTCCTTCTCTGGTCTCTGAGGGAGTTGAAGACTAGAAAAATGATAGATTATCATTTTTCTTGTTTATCAGATTCAGAAAAGAAACTCATTAAAGAGGTGTAAAGTGTATAAGGGTGAAAGATATCAAAAGATCATTTTAAATGGTAATGCAAATTAGGATAGTAAGTATATTAGGTCCAAGACTTTGAACTCTCAAGATAAGTTAGATAATGGAGTATTTTCTCTGATTTTGTCAAATGCAAATGGACTAGATAGACATTGTTGACGCATTCATTGCCTGTATACATTGTATGTAGTTAATGTACTTATATATTTTTATGTTAGATATAGCGTTCTTTTTTATTTTAGACATAAAAGGGAAAGTAGTGATATTTTGTTTGTAATCTAACAAATAAAGCTTGCCTGAAGATCAGAGTGTAGAGATAAATCACTAGTTAGCCATAAAAGCCATAAACACACAGATTTAAGAGGAAGGCAGATATCTGTGAGTTCAAAGTCATCCTGGTTTACATGAGATTGAATCTGTTTTAGGAGAGAAACAGAGTTCGCACAAAGATAATCCCAGCACTTGAGATCACATGCCTTTAATCCTAGCACTAGGGAGGTAGAGACAGGCGTGATATGGCTGAACAGAGAGAGGAATATAAGGGGGAAGAGACAGGATCTCACCCTTTCAGTCTGAGCATTGATAGATGTAAGAACTAACTAGTGGCTGGTTGCTTTGTTTCTCTGATTCTTCAGCTTTTACCCTATAATATCTGACACTGAGTATTTGTTAAGACCAATTAGAATTTGTACTACAGATGAGCATTTGGACAGCCATGCTAAATGCTTATTAACTCTGTGTTCGCTTGAGAACCCCTAAAGCATAACTTTCGGGAATAAATTTCAACAGAAACATAAAATTTATTATAGTCACAATATTTAATCTTATGCTACATATTAACATGATATATATCTAACATGATAGAAAACCTATCAAATTTCATTTTATAAAATTTACCTTGAAATTTCAAACTCAAACAAAAATTTTATACGTGGCAATTTAAAAGCACGGTTTTATATGGATATTTGTAGTTCAATAATACATGAAAATATTCAGAAAATAAATAAAGCTTAATTTTATAGCTATAAGGCCTTTTATGAATATAAATTATGTATTTTATATATGGCTGATATGTTCAGTAGGATAAGAAATTTATCATTCATTAATTTTTGAGATGATAAACACGTTTGAGTCAGAACTTTGGCTATTTTGAATAATTCCTGAAAATACATCATCATTTGGCTCTAATAACATAATATAAAGTATCATCGCACATGGTGTCAGAGGACTTCATCCCCAATACACAGGAGACTGAGGCAGAAAGATTTTGAGAGTTTGATATAAGCCTGGTCTACCCATGTCTAAAAAATATACAAAGAATGTAACAACTACAAAATGCTTAATGTCTTGTTGTTCAGTGTATCCCACCATATTATACATTCACTTTTATGAAAAATTTAACTTTTATACTTGAGGATTTAAATTTATATAAGTACTGTTTTAAAAGTTTAAAATCTTTGGCTGTTATTTGTCTTGCCAAAGACATAGTCCTCTACTTTGGTGAGTATGAAAAATAAAATATAAATCTGTTTTAACTACTTTTTTTTTTGAAACTCAACTTAAATAGTAATGAGGGAACATGGAGACTTCTAAAGCTATCTTTCATCTTCACACAAGTTATTTTAGGTTCAACAATAGAGTATTCCTTTATAAGGTATCCAACACTCTTCTCTTCCTTGCCCTTAAGCAATATTTTAGCCAGAATAATGTATGTTAAAAATTGCCTTCATATGCATACTTAATTATGTGAAATATAAAAACATTAAAATAGAGGAAACCATAAAATGCATGTTGTGATTTAAAGTTATAGAGAAGTATCCATATAAAATTAGAATACTATTAAAATACATTAAAATAAGGTTTGCTTATTAATGATTTCAGAGGCAAGCAATACACATGTAAGATTTTAGATAAATGTAAGATAATTTTAGTGTAGATTTCATTTATAAGTTTACTAATTGTCACAATGA